GTCAATTTCTTTTTTTTTCCAAATATCTATGGAACCGGGTCGAGTTGGAATTCGAGAGAGGTATCGCCGGATTGCAAAAAATTCTCGGAATCCATTGATGCCATTCTCATCTTCGTACGACTTTAATCAGCTGAGATATTAATTAAAAACTGTGAAAATGCTAATTTTCCCCCTCATCTTTCCGAGTGGCTACAGTTTCTTGAACCGCTAGAGATAAAAATCAAGGTTATATTCTGAAGTTTTAATAAAACACGCGATTTCATGTTACCTCACGGTGTATTGAAAATATTTCGTTAATGTCAGCATTTTAAACTAACATTCTTTTAATTTCAGGTTTTTATAATTGCCACGATATGTTATTGCCACGTTAATTCTTTTATTACTATTGAGTAAAAGTTGTTATATTACATTAAATTTAAATGATGGCGTTCTTGAAGTTGTACAATTTTAATCAGCTGAGATATTAATTAAAAAATCTGAAAGCGCTATTTTTTTAAAATATGTAATTTTTTTTGGAATAATAAATTTAATCTTTTTGAATAATATATTTTTTCATGGTTTTGGATACGTCTACTTAATTTACATATGCTTTTTGAATTTAAATGATATCGTAAATTAGTTCGCAACAATAATAATTATTAATTTTTTTTACGATTCAAATTTCTTAATTAAATTTTAATTGAATATGAGCTTTTCCTTGCAGCAACGACGCAAAAGAATTATTTAAATTTAATTTAACTTAACTATATTCTTGTGAAACAACTTTGTTGAAACTTTGTCCGGATTCTGTAAATTTAAACATTTTTTTTTCGTTTGGATTTTAAATTGAACATGTGACCCTTGGAGACGGTATATGAGAACTTTTTTTATTATAAATAATTATGAATTGATAATCGCATTAATATATATATATTGATACAATTTTGTGTGTGATTATGTTGAAGATTATAAAAAATAAAGGAATTTTAATAACGAATCTATTGTTTGAATAACAAACCCGAAAATTTTCGTGATTTCTCTTTCTACAACGGCCCATTAGCGGCACCGTAAAGTCACTGAACACTGGTAGTTCGGTCCGACTTTCGAATCCCGGCGAACGGGCTGGCTGCATGTGTGCTTTCGTGATTTTCCACTTGTATATAGTATATTTAGTATCTTCTGGATGCATACATGAATAAAGAGGGCGCAGCCCGCTAAAAACCGCTGAACACTGGTAGTTCGGTCCAACTTTCGAATCCCGGCGAGCAGGCAGGTTACACGGGTGTTTTTGTGATTTTACACATCTCTATCGTGTATGCAGTGTCTTCTAGATACATAAATGAATAAAGCGGCCGCAGCCCGCGCAAGAAAGCAGAACACTGGTAGTTCGCTCCAACTTATGAATCCCGGCGAGCAGGCTGGTTGCATGGGTGTTTTCATGATTTTCCATATGTGTATCGTGGAAGCAGTGTCTTCTTAATACATATGTGCATAAAGCGGACCCAGCCCTCGCAAAACCGATGAACACTGGTAGTTCGGTCCAACTTTTGAATCCCAGCGAGCAGGCAGGCTACGCATGTGTAATGTGTATGCAATGTCTTCTGTATGCATAAGTGAATAAAGCGGGCGTCATAATCACTGAACACTGGTAGTTCGGTCCAATTTTCGAATCCCGGCGAACGGGCTGCTGCATGGGTGCTTTCGTGATTTTCCGCATGTATATAGTATATTCAGTATCTTCTGGATGCATACATGAATAAAGAGAGCGCAGCCCGCTAAAAACCGCTGAACACCGGTAGTTCGGTCCAACTTTTGAACCCCGTCGAGCAGGCGGGTTACACGGGTGTTTTTGTGATTTTACACATCTCTATCGTGTATGTAGTGTCTTCTAGATGCATAAATGAATAAAGCGGGCGCAGCACGCGCAAGAAATCTGGACACTGGTAGTTCGCTCCAACATACGAGTCCCGGCGAGCAGGCTGGTTTCATGATTTTCCGCATGCGTATCGTGTATGCAGTGTCTTCTGGATACATATGTGCATAAAGCGCGCGCAGCCCCCGCAAAACCGATGAACACTGGTAGTTCGGTCCAACTTTCGAATCCCGGCCAGCAGGCGGGCTACATGGGTGTTTTTGTGATTTTACGCATGTGTATCGTCTATGCAATGTCTTCTGTATATGCATAAGTGATGCATAAGTGAATAAAGCGGGCGCAGCACGCGCAAGAAAGCTAAACACTGGTAGTTCTGTCCAACATACGAGTTCCGGCGAGCAGGCTGGCTGCATGAGTAGTCACCGCTGGACATTGTTAGTTCGTTCCAACTTTCGAATCCCGAAAATTTGCCTGCTGGCTGCATGGGTGTTTTCGTTGTTTTACGCATGTGTATCGTGTATGCAGTATATTCTGGATGCAAACTTTTATAAAGCGGGGGCAGCCCCCACAAAACCGCTGGACACTGGTAGTTCGTTCCAACTTTCGAATACCGCCGAAATTACATTAGGAACTCTTATGCACACGAACAATGAATAGCGGCAAAGGCGCTGATAACTGGTGGTTCGTAACAAATTTAAAATCCCCGTGAGCGGGCTGGCTGCATGGGTGTTTTCGTGTGTGTGTATCGTGTATGCAGTGACTTCTGGATGCGTATGTGAATAAAGCGGGGGCAGCCCGCGCAAAACCGATGAACACTGGTACTTCGGTCCAACTTTGGATCCCGGCGAACGGGCTGACTCCATGGGTGTTTTCTTGATTTTACGCATGTGTATCTTTTATGCACTATCTTCTGCATGTATACGTGAATAAAGCGGGCACAGCACGCGCAAAATCGATGAAAAATTGTATTTCGGTCCAACTTTCGAATCCCGGACAGCGGGCTGGCTGGAGGGGTGTTTTCGTGATTTTACGCATGTGTACGGTGTATGCAGTATCTTTTGCATGCACACGTGAACACTGTTTTGCGCGGGCGCAGCCCGCCCAAAAGCGCTGAACACTGGTATTTCGGTCCAACTTTCGAATACCCGCGAAAGGTGCTGGCAGCATGGGTGTTTTCGTGATTTCCGCATGTGTATCGTGTATGCGGTAACTTCTGGATGCATAGGTGAAAAAAGCGGGGGAAGCCCGCGGAATGCCGCTAAAAAATGGTAGTTCGGTTCAACTATTCAATACCGGCCAAATTTGAACATGGGAATTCTTTTAAAAACGAACAATGATAAGCGGGCTTCAGCCCGCTCAGCTGGCGGGCTTGCCCGCTAGTCTATACTATTAAAATCTGTGCGCCTCTGTCTGTTTGTGTGTTTGTAACATCATCTTCTCAAGAACGGCTGGGTGTAGAGCTTAGCGGAAGGTACCGTTGGATTCAGAATTCCCGTGGCTCGCCATTTTGACCATCGGCATCTTCGTGCGACTTTAATTAGCCGAGATATTAATTAAAAACTAATTTTCCCCCTACGTTTCCCTACGTTTTGCACTTTCTTTCACCGGTTTTCCCTGTTTTAGGGATTTGGCGGAGTGCCAAATTCGTTTTTCTCGAATATCTACGGAACGGCGCCGAGTTGGAATTCGAAACGCATATCCCCGGATTCGAAAAAAATCAACGAATCCATCGATACCGGTCCCATCTTCGTACGACAATAATCGGCGGAGTTATTAATTAAAAACTGCGAAAACAATAATTTTGGCATTCAGTCTTCCGAGTGGCAACAGTCTCGGCAGTCGCTTCGGAGATAAAAATGCTATGGGAACGCCAAGGCCGTTCGCCACTAAAAAACTAAGAATAAAAAATTAAAAATAACTTAAAGGAATAAACTGAAAAAGCTAAAATAAAACTAAAAATAGAAACATTCTCTTCATTTAGTTGTCGTTAGTTGATTGTAGATTGGTTTAATCGACGTCAAACGTCATAAAATAAAAAGTTTTGTTTCCCGGTTTGGCAACAGATCAAATAGAATCAAAAGTTTAGTTTCCTGGTTTGGCAACAAAAAAATTTATTTACGAATTTGTGATTTGGAAGGAGACCGTCGCAAATTTTTCTCTGCATTTCAAATTTCGTAAATATTCTTATTATTACATCATTGCACTTAATCTTTATTTCTTTTTACAGGATATTTGATTGTTTTTTTTGCATTTATATTTGTAGTTTTTAGTAATTTAAAGTAGTATTTTAGACTTTTATATGCTTCCTGTTAGTTTAGAACTTGAGAATTCTTAGGAACATTAACTTTTTGTGATATATTTAATATTTTCTTCGTATTTTTTTAAAGATCTATTCATTCGTATTATATATTTGTGTTTTTGTTGCTTAAAAAATTGCATTTACGTTTTATATTTTTTAACATTTTACTGTGTGCGATAACAACTATCGTTTTAAGGCGATCGAATGTTCTCTTTTATTAGATGTAGTTAGTTCATTTTTGCTTTTAAATTTCAGAATTGATTTCATAAGCTTTTTAATTTATCTTTGCATTTATACTTTTATTTATTTTGTGTTTATAATTTTCATTTTGTTTTTACGTGAGTTGTTGTACGATAATAACTATCGTTTAAGGCGATCGAATGTTCTTTTTTTAGATGTATTAGTTCATTTTTGCTTTTAAATTTCAGAATTGATTTCATAACTTTTTAATTTATCTTTGCATTTATACTTTTATTTATTTTGTGTTTGTAATTTTCATTTTATTTTATGCGCATTGTTTTCAGATTAGCTGAATTATTAGAAATATTTTCATGATTGTTATGTGTGCTTAGAATTTTCATAGTATTACCCATATTATTTGGTATTTACCAGCAATTTTGTAATCGGCAAGTTTTGGTTTCAGAATTTTTGACTTTTTTAAATTAAGTAGCTCTTGAGCGGATAAGTTTTCATTTAGTCTGGAATTATTTACATTTAGAATGCATTAACTAATTTTCAGGAGTACTGTTTTAACGAACAAGTTTTTTTCTTTCATCTTTTACGTTCGATTATTACTTTTTTAGTTCAGTTATTGTTTTAGTAGAGTAGTATTTTTTTTAACACACTGAAATGCCGAAACGGAAAAGAAGGCATTACGGGAGATGCATCGAAGAAGACGAAGAGCTGAAGCACAAAGGTTTACGGCGAGCTGCAGAAAATGAAGAAGAAACCGCTAGCAGACTGAGTGCGCAAGCAGAGCGCCAAGCAAACCTACGTGTTCAAGAAACGGAAGAAGAAACCGCTAGCAGACTGAGTGCGCAGGCAGAGCGCCAAGCAAACCTACGTGGTCAAGAAACAGAAGAAGAAACCGCTAGCAGACTGAGTGCGCAAGCAGAGCGCCAAGCAAACCTACGTGGTCAAGAAATGGAAGAAGAAACCGCTAGCAGACTGAGTGCGCAAGCAGAGCGCCAAGCAAATCTACGTGGTCAAGAAACAGAAGAAGAAACCGCTAGCAGACTGAGTGCACAAGCAGAGCGCCAAGCAAACCTACGTGGTCAAGAAACGGAAGAAGAAACCGCTATGAGACTCTGCACGCAAGCACAACAGCAAGAAAACTTACGCGCTCAAGAAACGGAAGAAGAAACCAGTTCGAGACTCTGCAGGCAATCACATCGGCAAGCAAACCTACGTGCTCAAGAAACGTGAAGAAGAAACCAGTAGGAGACTCAGCAGGCAAGTGCATCGTCAAGAGAACTTGCGCACTCAAGAGTCGGAAGAGGACGCTGCTACACGACGAAGAACGCGAGACGCTGCACGCCACAGACAAGTCCTATCCGAAGAAAACAATGTCCGTACGAGAAGACAGGCTACGCATGAATGCAGCACAACGTTCACGCAGCACTCTTCACAATGCAGGAAGATGTGGACTCGAAGTTTATGTTGAGCAACACAGCGCCGGTTCAATGGAAGCTTCCTGCGATCTCTGCAACGGATTGTTCTTTACGGGAGAAAGGAATGCAAGAGGAAGATACATGCACTGCTGTAACAATGGGAAAATTGTCGAAGCTGAAAGAAGATATCCAGAAGAATGGCACAATTTAATGAATGGGAACCACCCGTTTTCTGAAGAGTTTTTTGCCAACATACGTACTTACAACTGCCTGCTCAGTTTTGCTTCATTGGGTGCCAATATAGAAATGCCTTCGGGTTCGGGTCCCTACTGCTTCAGGATTCACGGTGCCATATATCATCGAACGAGCCACCTTCATCCGCCTCATCCCGGTCAAGAACAGTATGCTCAGCTGTACATTTTAGATTCGGATCAAGCCCTCAGGCAGAGAATGAACATATTTGGAAATGTTGCCCTGAACGCCGAACTCCTGAGACAGTTGGACACAGTTTTAAGGAACGTTAATCCATATGCGGAAGCCTACAAGATGCTGAAGGAATTCGAAGAAGAAACTGTACGAGAGCAAGGTGCCGAAACTGCTGCGGATATCCGCATGTACATCAAGGGTGAAAGTGTTGCTGCAGGCGAGCACAGGGGACGTTACAATGCTCCGAAAGAAAATGAAGTTGCAGTCGTCTTCAAGAGTACGGACGGCGCTCCTCCATCGAACCGAGACATCGTGATCCATCCGAGAGGTGGCGGTCTCATCAACATCAGTACCTTAAATCCCAACTTGGAACCCATGACGTACGTACTTTTCTTTCCTCACGGCGAGCAAGGATTCAGAGTCGGACAGCAATACACAGAGTTACAGTTTTACAGTCACAGGGTGTCCGTACGACGAGATTGCTACAACCCGATTTTGTATGGCCGGAAATTGTTTCAGCAGTATCTCGTGGATGCATACGTAAAAGTTGAAGGCAACAGGATTGCGTACCTCCGGAGCCATCAGACGAATCTGAGAGTGGAAACTTACATGGGTCTTGCCGATCACATTTACAGAGTTGGTCAAGAGACGGGCGTCCGCCCCCTGGAATACCGGTTATACTTCCGTCAACGTTTATAGGAAGCCCTCGCTGCATGCAGCAAAACTATCAGGACTCGATGGCCATTGTGCGCGACTTTGGTAAACCGGATCTGTTTTTGACTTTCACGTGCAACCCTAAATGGCCGGAAATAACAGAAAACTTATTCCCAGGACAGAAGGCTCACGATCGCCCGGACATCGTTTCGAGGGTATTTGACCTGAAGAAAACGGCTTTGATGCAAGATTTGACAAAGAATCACATCTTAGGTGCGACCATTGCAGATATACACGTCATCGAATTTCAGAAGAGAGGATTGCCTCATATGCACCTTTTGTTGTTTTTAGCGGAAGAAGACAAAATAAGAGATGCAGAGTGCATCGACTCGCTGGTGTGTGCTGAACTTCCAGATGCTACTCGACATCCGGAGCTACACAACATTGTGAAGTCATCGATGATTCACGGACCCTGCGGTGAACTGAATAGAAACTCTCCCTGCATGAGTGATGGTGTATGTTCGAAAGGATTTCCGAAACCGTTTCAGGCAGAAACTAAAGAGAACGTGAATGGCTACCCACTCTACAGAAGAAGGGACGATGGAAACTTTATCGTGATCAAGGGTCATGCCATCGATAACAGATGGGTCGTTCCTTACAATCCGTATTTATCGAAAAAGTACAACGCCCACATAAACGTTGAAGTATGCAGCTCCATAAAATCGGTGAAGTATTTGTTCAAATACGTGTACAAGGGTCATGATGCAGCTAAAGTTGTTCTGGAAGAATCTGGAGATAGAACTTTAATGTGGGACGAGATCAAATGCTTCTTAAATGCAAGATACGTGTCTGCCCCTGAAGCAGCGTGGAGGCTGTTTGAAAAAAGAATGCATTCTAAGTCGCACTCCATCATACGACTACCGGTTCATTTGGAAAACCTGCAGCCCGTCTATTTTGCCGAATCCGAAGAAAGGAATGCTTTCCAGAGAGCTGCCGAGAAAAAATACCATGCTCACCGGATGGTTTGAACTGAACAGGACAGTTCCCGAAGCGAATGGTTACCTGTATGCCGAAATTCCTAAACATTTCACCTGGAGGAATCATGCCTGGCAGACACGAGTTAGACTTGGAGATTACATCATTTCAAGAATGTATTCTGTTAGCCCGAAAGATGTTGAGCGTTTCCATCTGAGGTTGCTGCTGTGTCACGTTAAAGGAGCGAAGAGTTTTGCCGACTTAAGAACTTACGAAGGTGTGGAGTATTCAACGTTCAAGGAAGCCTGCCGTGCAAGGCATCTGCTGCAAGACGACGAAGAATGGAAAAATACTCTGGCAGAAGCATCAGCTTTTCAAATGCCACCGCAGCTAAGACAGCTTTTTTGCTTCATCTCTGTGTTTTCTGCAACCCTGCGGAACCCGTCGCTTTGTGGAATGAATTCAAAGAGTCCCTTTCTGAAGATTTTGCGAGATCTTACTCCTTAGAAGACAGTTTCAGCCTTGCACTGAGAAGTATAGAAGACCAGTTAGAAGTGCACAATGTTTCGCTATGTTCTCTTGGTCTCCCGCAACCAACATTGACTGATGCTGTTTCTCTCGAAGTCCCGCAGTTCGATGTCCAGTATGAAAACGAACAAGCCGAAGTGTTGAACGGGATGTTGAATCCTGAACAGAAATTAGTTTACGACTTGGTTTTGGAAGCTGTACGAGATGAGAATCCTAACACACCGAAGACATTTTGTGTTAATGCGTTTGCCGGAGCTGGAAAAACTTTCCTTTTTAGGACGATCCTTCATGCTGTTCGAGGAATGGGCCACGTTGCCATTCCCGTTGCGTGGACAGGCATTGCTGCTGTGCTGTTGACCGGTGGAAAGAACTGTACACTCTACTTTCAAGTTGCCCGTTCCACTTCTGGAAAATTCTTCGTGCCGTGTGAGACAAGATAGCGCTGAAGGAAGGTACTTGAAGACTGCGAAACTTTTCATATGGGATGAATGCACCATGACGCCTCATTACGCTTTGGAAGCTGTCGACAGATTGCTGAGAGACTTGACCGGACTGGATGTTCCTTTTGGCGGTAAAACCTTAGTTTTAGGAGGTGACTGGAGACAAACATTACCTGTTGTCGCACATGGAAACCGAACTTCTGCGATCGAGAGCTGCCTCAGGAACTCCTTTTTGTGGCCACATTTCAAACAATGCACGCTTTCCACCAATATGCGATTGAATCCGGAAGAACAAGAATTTTCAGAATGGCTTCTGCAGTTGGGAGACGGTCGTCTTAAAAATGACAGTGGCTTGGACGAAGACATTATCGAAATTCCATCTTTGTGTGTGGTCAACAGATCGATAGTAGAAGAAATGTTTGGCTGCGGTAATGAATTCGACTTACAAGACTTGGCCAGTAAAGCGATTTTATGTCCAAAGAACGAGGAAGCTCTGAAGCTTAATGAAGAAATTCTTTCCACGTTTCCAGGTCAAGTTTTCACGCACTACAGTGCAGACTCGGTTATTTGCGATGACGAAGAAGAACAAGAAACGTATCAGCTGGATTTCATCCACAGCCTGACGCCTTCTGGAATGCCACCTCATCGTCTGAATTTGAAAGTTGGAGTTATAGTTATGCTTCTACGAAATCTACATCCATCGGTTGGACTCTGCAACGGAACAAGGCTCATTGTGAAGAGAATTATGCCAAACGTTTTAGATTGTGAAGTCATCTCTGGACAGAATGCTGGATCGAGAGTTTTCATTCCACGTGTTGAACTTTCACCATCAGATTCAAACCTCCCTCCCCTTTCAGCTCAAGCGAAGACAGTTTCCCATCAGGCTTGCATTTTGTATGACTATTAATAAGTCACAGGGACAGACACTTAAGAAAGTTGGGATTTATTTACCGCAACCAGTTTTCAGTCATGGAATGCTTTACGTAGCTTTTTCAAGATGTTCGTCTATGAGGAATGTTCGTGTTTTAGTGAAAGACACCAAGAAGCAAGGCCGTTTGATGCCCGCATGTTCTAAAGTATTCACAAGAAATATTGTTTACAGGGAGGTTCTGCAGTAAAAAAGTTACTCGAGACATTGAAACAGTGAGATTTTTGCAACACAAAATGAAGTTAATCAAGCCAAAGCAAAAATGAAAAAGATTTGAGGTTTTTGGATGACTGGGATAAATTGAAGCAAGTCAAGATGAAGCTGAAACAGTTTGAGAATGATGCATTAGTCGGCTTTTATGTCTGTTGTTACAAAGTGGAATTTTGGAGTAGTTAGGCAATCGGAAGCTGTATTATTTTTTCAATGTTGTAAATATTTTTTATAAATTTTCCTTTTCAGGTCTACATACAATTGCGTTAATTAATTTTAAAACATTTTATGTATTTTTCTTTTTTAGGTATGTATGGAACTGATTTCAATCACATAAAAATATTTCTTTTTCAGGTGTATATAGAAATGATTTGATTCAAATTAAAATGTTTTTATACATTTCTTTTCAGATGTACATAGAACTTGTAAATACTTTTTTTCAGGTGTATATAGAAATGATTTCATTCAAATTAAAATGTTTTTCTTTTCAGGTGTACATAGAACATGTAAATTTTTGTAAATAATAATTTTTCTTATTCATTGCTTGCATTTTTGTAAACACATACAAATATATATATATCTTAATTGTGCGTGTGTGTATATATGTATATACAATTGCATCAATATATATATATATATATACATATTTATATA